TACCTCTGTCTTCATGAACTGTTGCCCTCAAAAAAAACCCTCATAGAAGTGTATTATTTGACTGAATAACTCTCAGAACTTGTCATCACAGGTTTCTGATTTCCCTCTTATAGTTCACACTAGACATAGTGCATTGCTCTCTGTTACAGCATGATGGCTATTAAGAAATACTGTACCAGATTTATCACTGGTGAAACAGGTTATGCTAGGTATGAATTTGCCACAATGGGGCTGATACTGCTCCCACTGATGTTTCTGGCAAAATTCTGATGACTTTCACTGAAAGCAGAATTGGACCCGACATTTAGCAACAAGTGTCAGAAGCACAGAGAAGCGCTAGAGGTTTTGCAATAGTAGTAGAGGCACTACTGCTAGAGCACACTAGGAAATCCTGTAGCGATCACTGCCAGAGATATTTAAAATACACCCCTAAAGGCAAGGTTTTCTAAATGTTGTACAGGATTTTAGCCAAGGAACTTTGAAAATATTAGAAGCACTGCCATGCTGAGCACCCTGTGCTCACTCAAAAATATTACAGAATGCAATAATGAGAACATGGTGCTGAGAACTTTTGCATTATCAGGCCCAGAGCAAAGGATGGGTTAGGATCAGGGAAAGGATAATAACAGCTCTGTAATGCTATGCTGCTAGGGCAAGCTTCAGCTTCACTTGGTTGAGCACATAAATTTAAATGTCAAATATCCAGAGTGTTTTCCAAATGAAAATGTGAGGTTTTATTCCCCTGATGTCAAAACCTGAAAAGAGGTGTACTTCATTAACTGAAAGCAAACAAAAAGCTCTTTGTAGGTTAATTTTTAAAAATATTTGATGAGAAAGAGAACCAAGATGCCACTAACTTGTTCAAGAGATGGAGAAAATGTCAACAGAACTCAGGCTGTTAATTATCTTGAGAGCTAAAAATTATGCAGGCAATTACAGATAGGAATTTTTGTGACAGTCCCAGCTTCATATATGTTTGGTAAAGTGTTCTTGCAAATTAAAGCATAGATTGCTGGGCGGTTTTTCAACTTTGGTGTGATACTGGCTGGTGGGGGTTGTTAACTTCTTGATTTGATTTTATCCTTCAAGCAAATGAAAGCCCAAGCATCCCTAAACTTTTTTTCTAATACTTTTAAAGATCATCTTTGCATGCCAGCTTTTGCTTAGAAACTCACCCGAAGATGTCAGCCATTGAAATGATTTCATGTGGAAGCATTGCTAAGTAAATTCACTAAATGCCTATTCATCCCAGTAAGATGGAGAATCACTGAAGCAGCAAATGTGAAAATCTGCACAGCTTACTATATAGAAAGCAGTTTTCTGAGGATGCCAAATTGAGAAGCAGTCTGACCCTGGGAGGCATTAAAGCTCACATGAATGAACATAGAAGGAGGGTCTCAGGCTTCTTCAGTCTAGTCATGGAGATTGATTGATAGACATGTATTCCAATTGGTCTCGATTGGATCAATGGTTAACTAGTTCTTTATTCATCAGTTCAATAAAGAAAGGTTACCTGTGATGACAGAAAAGTTTGTAAATATGAGATACTCTGATGATGTGCTAGTTTGATGAAGTCCTCAGTTATTCTGACTGACCTCTTAACTTTAAAGCATTTTCTACTGGGATCTTATTTAACCTGGCTTGATGGGAATGTTTCTAAGCTGCAGTACTGCCTAGAGTTGACTTTTTGTATTTTCAGTTGCATCAGAGGAGAAAAGGTCCTTGTATCTTTTCCTTAAAAGTTGTCTTCATGGAATGCAAATCAGTAGATGAAGATTTGTTCATTATGGTTTTCTTAGTTTTCCTAAATATGTTGACCTGCATAAATGAAGAGGAAAATGATTTTTGTATCAGTGTTAAAGTTAATACGAAACCACCATGAATTTTCTTGGAAATGTCAGCTGAAATGCTGAAAACTATTTGAAGGAATTCCCAGTTCTGTTAAATGGAATTAGCCATAACATTGTAGAATTCTCATGAAGTTTAGTGGGAATTTGGCATTTAAATTCCTCATGTGGTTTTGAAAATTTTGAAAAGGAGTGGGGTCTAGGGGGTGTGAAGGGGAACAAGGTAGGGGGCCAGATCAGATCCTGGGGCTTCCTTCCCAGGACAGGGACAGTAGCTTCCCAACAAGCACCTTCCTTCACCACTCCCACCTCCTCGCCAACCCAGGAAGCACAGCAAGCACCACCGATATCCCAGTCCCAAATTCCAATTCAGTAAAATATGAGGCCTTCTTTAATTTACTTCCTCTTCAATTCTTTTATTTTTTTCCTTTTTACTGCTTTTTATTTTATTCTTCAATGGCTGACTTCCTTCATTTCACCCTTCCCCCAACCCCACTTCCTTTCTACCTTCTATTGCATTACTCAACCCCATCCCATTAACTTTCCACTTCCCAGATTCATGTTCCCTTCTCTCCCCCCGTCTCTCACCACCCCACCCCTGCCGCCCCCTGCCCCAACCTAGAGCAGTGCTAGAAGCCTGTCTGAGCTCACCAGCCCTGTAGGGGCAAGTTACAGCTGTGTCAAACCCCTGCTCATCAGCCCTCTAGTGCTGCATCCGGCTGTGCAGGTGGGGACACTCAGAGAAGGTTTTTAGCTTTAATGTGTAACTGCTCCAAACTCAAGTTAGCACTAGCACCAATCAGCATTTGAGCTGCTCAAAGTGCAGCGTGCAACAAGGCCCATAGATAAACCCATTTAATCTGGAAATCATTGAGAGATGCTAAACTTGCCTTTCTCACAGTATACTTTTCTGAAAGGAAGCTACTGCAATGAACAAAATATTTGTAGCAACAGCTTTCCTTGTAGTGGAAAAATTTACATTTAATGTTGCAACAGTAGTCTCTTATTGCACTGTAGAGACCAATGGTTTCAAAGTAAGGGACAATAAATATAAGTGATTTCACTCTCTGATTTCAATACTTTCTGTTATTTTTTCCCACAGGACAAATGACCAGCTGGTAGCATTCCTGTCCAGATATCGAGATATGAACTTCTTGAAATCACATGGGAGAGATAATGCAAGGTAACATGATTTCTCATAAGCTTGTTTGAAATGTGACAGTGAAGTTATATTATGGCCTCTCAGTTTTGTCTGGGTGAGGGAGTCCCAGGTTCAGGAGACTAGTGGCTGGTGGGTGTGTGAAAATGAAACTCTTGGCCTTAAACAACTGTTATTGCTCATGAGTGTCTTCTTCTTTATGTCAATCCAAAGAGGAGAGTTAGCCGGGAGGGAGGTTTAGAGCAGACTGCCACTTGTTCCCTACTCCCAGCTTGTGGTGGCTTGCTGCAACATGAAGATGTACTTAAGGGAGAGGTGAACCCAAGAGGTTTTCTTTTGTTCTCATCTCATTTGTTTCTCAAACACCCTAAGCAGTTTTACATGTGAAAATGATCATTTTCTAACTCATTTCTCAAAAATTGGTAGTTTCACCCAAACAGGCATGTGGAATCATTCTTAAGTGCCAGAAACCCTATCATTTTTCCAGGATTGGGAAAAACAGCAAAGAGAGAATTAGTCCTAAATATCAGCTTGGGGTTAGCACAGCATCAGGCTGACATGCGTTTCTGAGATGGTCTAGCACTGTCTGTAAAATCTTTTTAAAAACAGTAATCTCTAATGTCCTAGTTTAGAGCTCCCCACCCTCATACACTATTAGGGTGCTGTTAACAGTGGTCTCTTTGGCACAGGAGAAGTTTACTGCTGTGGATGGAGTTCAAGGCCATAGTGGAGACCATCCCAACACCGAAGCCAGCCAGGGTTCTACTGCACACCTGTATAAAGATAACGTTCACTCCATTTGGAGAAGAAAGTCTTTGGCCTTTCTTGTGTGCAGGGGGTGGAGGGACCCTGGGGGGCTTTGGTGGTCTGTTTTGACTTTGGAATCCACACATCTGAGTCTCTCATTTATCCCCTTCCTTTTAGTTTCCTGGGGGATCATACCCATAATACAGGCAGCTCTGCGTTAGGCCAGAAATGATCATTAAATGCTATGCTTCAGTGCTGTAGCCAGTTGTCTCTAGTGGGCAGAAATAATGTTTTTCCTATAATTCAAAGTGGCAGGATTCTTATGTTGATAACGTATTTATTTGGCTATTTGGATGTTTTTTCGAAGCATCAAAGATTTCCACAGCTCGAGGTGGGGTTGTGAATAGTGTGGAACAGTGCTCTGAGGTGCTCCAGACAGTCCTTTTGAGTGTTTGGATCATGTGTGGCTGGTTATCACCCTCATCAAGTTGGCAGGACCTTGGGTGATGGGGCTTGCTGCCTTCCATCACAACTTGGGGCCTGGTGCGTCTGATGGGATCACCTGGACACAACTTGCCTAATCACTTTCCTACAGTTGCAGGGCATTAGCATTAGGAGCACCTTGGTCTCTCTCTTTCTCTGCCTATGGTTCATGTTAGGTTTTCTTGAGGAAGTATTTAATTTAATTAACATTTAGGCTATGTAGGCAAAACTCAGTGGCCTGTAATATACAGGAGGTCCAACACTTAGGTCCCTTCTGGCCCTAATTTCTGTGATGCTATGAAAAGTTTTTAAGTGGTATAGGGAAATCTCCTCCTTTATGTTTGTAATTGCCCCTCTTGTGTGCCCCAATCTTACAACCAGTTCCACTGCCACGGGCTCCAGAAACCATTGAAATCCCACTGACTTCGCACCTGCCACTTTGATTGCAGGCTTAGCAAGCTGGTTCTTAAGCTAACCATTTCATGACCTTTGCTGAGTTCTGCAAGGTGTCTGGCAAACTGGACACAGTTCAGATGGCAAATCATAACAAGACAGAAAGTGGCACATCCAGTCAAATATCCAGTCAGTGGATGTGCTAAGAATAGAGCCTTGCTCTCTTGATTTTCGGTCTGCTTCTGCTCTAGCCAGTAGCCTCGTTGCCTCCATTTTGTCCTTGTTTGATGAATTGTATATCATCCTGATCATTCTGGGTCTTGTGCGTGCAGCAGTTGTGCTGCCTGTCGTGCCAGAATATTGTTGTGAGTAAATTACATGAAAACAAGAGCCAAAAACATCAACAGTTTTCACAGCAGATCTTCAGGTTTGGAAAAGCAAAACTTCGCTATGATTGACAGGCAAAGCTCTGGCTGGCAGGCCTGACAGACAGCAGAGTTAAATTGGAACAGGAACAGGAAAAGGTCAGGGAAATGCATTCAGTCTCTTTAGCTTTTCTGCTATTCTGATGCACCTGACTATCCTCAAACACTGCAACTGGCTACCTAAAATAACTAATGAATTATGACATTCATGCATAAAAGTTGTTCTAAGGTGCCAACCTCAGCTGGGGCTAGAACAATTTAGATCAATTAAATACACTAATTTGGTATTAATTTAATAATAAAATGTGCTAATGTGCCACTCATCCTCTCCTTGGAGAAAGAATATCCCATTTTATTATTTCTCCTGCTTCTTTTGAATCTATAAACAACTAAATGCTGTTTAACCTAATGTGACATGCACACATTTTATTTTTACTCCTGAGGTATAAATCTGAATCCTGCCCTGCACCATGAGATGTCATTTAGGGCAAGAACAAGGCTCCATCATCCTTGTCTGTCCATTCTATGCATCTCTTCTGTGTTGTTAGGTCCCAAAAGTTTTCCTTTTGGAACTTCCTCAAGGAGTGCTCAACAGTTCTTTCACTCAGCTTATTCCACAAGTTCCTACAGTTGCCTGATCCTCTATCATCACTCTAACCACAACCCCAAATATTTCCATCTTTTTTACTGGACAACAAGGTTATTGAACTCTGCTGAATCTTGGCATTTTTATGCATCATTCCAGTCACTGCCCAGCATTTTTCAAAAGCATTTGGCCATCTTCTCTTACACCAGGCTGATTTCACATTGTTCTATTCATATGGAAATAATATTTAATGTCAAGATTTTCAGCTTGGACTTCTAGTTTGCAATGGCCTCTTCTTGCTTAAGCTAGTAAACTCAGCTGACATCTTGCGGTTTGACACGCTGGTTCCTTCCAGACAACCTCTTTGATTTGCCAAGGTGTATAAATTGACCAACTGGCCTAGTAGTATTAACCTTCCAATTTATTATTAGACATGTAATGTCTTTGACTTAGTGATCTCACCTTGGTAAAGGAAATAAGGAAGGGCACATCTTGCATGCTACCTGAAGGGTGGTTACAAAGAGAATGACACTAGACTGTTCTCAGTGGTGACAGATATCAGAACAAGGAGCAATGGACTCAAGTTGCAGCAAGGGAAGTTTAGGTTAGATATTAGAAAAAACTTTCTCATTAGGAGGGTAGTGAAGCACTAGGACAGCCTACCCAGAGAGGTTGTAGAATCTCTATCCTTGGAGGTTTTTAAGACCAGGCTAGATTGAGCCTTTACTGGATGATCTAGTTGGGGCTGGTCCTGCTTTGAGCAGTGGGTTGGACTAGATGACCCCCTGAGGTCCCATCCAACCCTAATTTTCTACCTTCTGATAGAACAGCAGAAAACAGCGTGTTACAGAGCAGATGTTGGTTTTGCATCTAGGCTTTGTCTCAGGGGCTGTAGCCCCTAGGCTCAGATGGCTTGTCAAAAGAAAATATCATAATATAGAGTCTATCTCCACTTCCTCTGAACAAAATGCTTGCATCAAAGGAGTTGGCTGGGCACTGGGCAGATGCCTAGTCAAAGGAATCTTTCCTTCACAGGCATCAGAGTATAGCGAATAAAAGATGTTGGCATCAATAAAGTACTGGTCCTTCCTTGGCCCTTCCCATCTTGAGAAAGGCCAAGGGCTGAGTTGGGCATCCTATCTACACAATCCAGATTCTACTCCCAGAACCCCATTTAAATTATGATATTCAGTGTCCTTGGGTCCTGACCCCATCCACTGATGTTGCGACCCCATTTGAGATCGCAACCCACAGTTTGGGAACCACTTCCCTAAGATGTATGTAGCCACTCTAGGCTACACCTTAATGTAAACACCCCACCCACCACCTGTGCCCACCTGGCCCAGATCAGACCCACTCCCCCTCTTTCCTCGCCTCCAATGTTCCCAGTAAGGAGCAGTGGTCCGTGAGTGCGCCGCCTTGGTCCGCGAGCGCGCCGCCTTGGTCCAGTGTGGGACACTTACCGAAGGGGGCTGGGGGCCTGACGCCACGTGCCTCCTCGCTCCCTGAGGCAAAGTGGGGGAGCAGAGCAGTGTGCCAGAGCCGGCAGAGCCTCACTTGGGGCAGGCAGCAGTTACTCCCTGAAGTGAGGCAAGGCAGGGATGGAGGCTGGTGTGGGGGGCTGGCGCGGGCTCCTCCGGCTCCGGGGGAGTGCTCCACTCCCCAGCCCTGATGCAGGGGAGCACTCCCTGGCCCCAGCCTCTCCTGGTGTGCAGCCTTGAAAAGGCTGTGCGCAGCCACACTTTTAGTTGTGTGCAGCCACGCACACATGCACCTTAGTGGGAACCTTGCTCTCCAGCACCCCGGATCCCTGCTCATTGCCCACCTCTTTCCCCTCCTTCACCCCTCGGCCCCCCATTTACTTGTGTCTGCCTGTGCTGTCTGTCTGAGGAGCAGTCAGGGAAGGGTTAACCTGTCTGCCCAGCCACCACTGCTCTCTGGGTCAGGCTCAGCCTAGAAAAGAGCAGCAGCCCAGCAGTGGAAGTGACCCCTTCCCTGCCTGCTCCACAGACACACAGGACAGGCGCCACAGGTAAGCAGGGGGGAGCCCTGGGGGCAGGGGGAATCAGGGGAGCCCAGAAAAGGGGGGGGAGGGGATTCTTACCTTTCAATCCTCCAACCCCTGCTTTCCTGAACATGTGACTGCTCAAACTTGAGCTAGCACCAGCACTGATTGACATTTATGCATCTCACAGTGTAACATTTAACAAGGCCTTAAGAGACAAGGGATTGAACTCGTTGGAGCACTCTTATGATTTCCAATAGTAATTCCTGTATTTCCAGGTATTTCCTTAAAGTAGAAGCTGGTAATACAGTAATGGAATATTTAAAAAACATTTAGAGCAAATTATAACCCTTCAAGCTACTTTTTTTAATTCCTGGGTGAATAA